CCGTGCTATATGAGGGTTAAGCTAACAAAATCCGTTATTATAAAAATACAAATGTTTATTATGGTGTACCCACTGGTAAAAGATAAAATAGGTTAAAAGAGATGATCCAAACATCAGACTCTTAAAACCTTTTTACACACAGAGCTGATAGTTTTACATATACAGTTGATGGGTATCTCTTATGGCCAACTGACCATATGCAAAGAAGAAAAAAGGGAAAAAAACTGAACCTAAACCTAGAATTCAGAACCTAAAAAGGTTAGTCAAGAGTAGAAAAGGGCCAACTCTAAAACTCTTATAAAACATACAAAAATATATATGTATTTATTCACCATAAATTAAAATAACAAACAAGGGCCCATTCAAACCTCATATACAAATACAAAAACATAAACATACAAGGGCTAATAAGATAGACCTAATGCGTTTCGGCCTGTTCCAAAGTTTAACCACTGGGCAAGGAAAAGAAATACAAAAAAGCTTTTGGATCAGCACTGTTTTTAACCTAAGGAACATTTGATTGGGAACATTTGGCTGTACAATCTCAGAAGACTATACAGTTGACCAGAGAGAAGTACCACTGGACGTGTGATTACACTGGAGGTTTCATTTGTATTTTTGTATTTCTTTTCCTTGCCCAGTGGTTAAACTTTGGAACAATTGGTTTCTGGTCTTTATTCCATATTTTGTATATGTAGGATTGTATGTATTTTTGCATATCAGCCAATATGTTCTGTCTGTATTAGACCTCTGAGGAAGGCCTGTAAAGGCCGAAACGCGTTAGGTCTATCTTATTAGCCCTTGTATGTTTATGTTTTTGTATTTGTATATGAGGTTTGAATGGGCCCTTGTTTGTTATTTTAATTTATGGTGAATAAATACATATATATTTTTGTATGTTTTATAACTAGAGTTTTAGAGTTGGCCCTTTTCTACTCTTGACTAACCTTTTTAGGTTCAGTTGACCATATGCGTCAATATTACTATTGTGAAACAACACACATCCAGAAATAAATATATGAAAAAGGATTTTCTTTAGAGCCAGGTGTTGCTTTCTGGAACTGTCTAAAGGGAGAGAAAAAAAGTTATTACATATAAAATGCACATAATAGTTGCACATAATAATGAATTTTTAAATAATAGGAAATTTTTGCTGTTGTTACCTCATGTGATGTATGGTCAACCGGTCATAAGAGATACCCATCAACTGTATACATGAAACTATCAGCTCTGTGTGTGTAAAAAAGTTTTAAGAGTCTGATATTTGGATCATTTCTTTTAACCTATTTTATCTTTTAATGTGTACACCATAATGAATATTTGTATTTTTATAATATTTTGTTAGCTTGACCCTCATATAGCACAGCCATGTCTTGGGTTCAGTTCTCCCCCCCCTTCAGTTTTTCTCCGATTGCCACAGCACTGCCACAGGAGGTGGCGGCGGCTACAAGCATGGATGGCTTCAAGAGGGAACTGGGTAAACATCTGGAGCAGAGGTCCACCAGTGGCTATTAGCCACAAGGTATAGATAGGGACTCCCGGTCTGGGGCAAGTGATGCTCTGTATTCTTGGTGCTTGAGGGGGGGCAACAGTGGGAGGGGCTTCTAGTGTCCTCCTGGCCCCACTGCTGGACCTCCTGATGGCCCCTGGTCTTTCTGGCCACTGTGTGACAGAGTGTTGGACTAGTGTTGGACTAGATGGGCCGTTGGCCTGATCCAGCATTGGCTTCTCTTATGTTCTTATGTTCTCTTAGCATGCTGGATCTCGGTGTTTCATGATGCCACAGCTGCTTAGACATTTTGGTAGGGTTGCCACCTCTGGGTGGGGAAATTCCTGGAGATTTGGGGGGTGGAGCCAGGGGAGGGTAATGGGAGGGGTTTCAGCAGCATTACAGTGTCATACTTTATCTCCTTCAAAGCAGCCATTTTCTGCAGGGAACTGGTCTTCGTAGTCTGGGGGTCAGTTGTAATTCCGGGAGATCTCCAGGCCCCACCTGGAGTTTGGCAACTCTAGTCACAGCAGTGACCCTCTTTTTTAGCATTGGCTAGTATGGATTGAGCTGCAGCTTCTTATGGGAATGGAACATCTGAACTTAAAGGAGCCACTGGACTCTAAATTTGTTCTACCTAAACTTCTTGTTCGTATTCGCTGTCTAATTTGATAGTGTTCATTTTGTTTTCCTGAAGGGAAAGAAGAAGTTCTGCTCAAGCAGGGTTCGGGATATTCTGTGGAACAGCAGGTAATCCATTCAGTTGGCTCAGTCCTTCGCTTTGACAAGATACCCACTTGAGCATTTGCAGCATCGCTTCCTGGCTTTGTGGGGCTGGATCGTTTTTTTTTGTTGCATCTCCAATTTTGTGCTCTCTTGTCGCCCTCTTGAGGCACCAGGATCAATTTCCCAGTTCCCTCGTTGCATATGATCCTGAGAGCAGTGTGGGATTCTCAGAATCCACAGCACAGTTTCCTGGCACAGCTTCTCTGCGGCAACACAGATGTGTTCTGAACAGAGATTGGCTTGTGAGAATGTGGGCCAGTGACGGAGCCTGTGGGATGAACATCAAAATACTGTTCTTTCCTGGAAGGAGATTTGTTTTATTTACTTCGTAGCCCTCTTTTCACGCTGAGACTCAGGGTGGATTACAGCGTGTTAGGCCCATGCAGCCAAATAGCATGCAATGTCCAATAAACAGTGCAACAGGATGAGGATTACAGAAACTTTGAAACAAGGCAAAAAAGTATCAGGTGCAATACATCAAGCAACGCAAGCAATTACTGCACTCAAACACAGTGCAGTTAAAAGTAGCATGATACAGATAAATAGGTACCAAAGGCAGTGGCTTAGACTACAGTCCTGATCCAGTTTATAAAAGCACTTTCCCGACCTGTTCTGTTATATTACTGCCCTAATCCCTTTGTAAAAATGTCCTCCTTTACAGTTCGGTTTTACATAGTTTGCAAAATGTCAGATCGCAGACTAATTCAGAAGGTGTTTGAATGCCAATTTATGTCCTTTCGCCATGAGGGAGAAGAGGAGTGAAGGAGGCCAGACTCAATGACAAACTGTTGTTTCTCTCAGTCACGGGCCTGGCGGAACTTCTCCGTCTTACAGTCCCGACGGAACTGCACTAAGTCCCCACAGGGCACGGGTGTCATTAGGCAAAGAATTCTACCAGACTGGTGCTAGGGTCAAAAAGGCCCTGGCTCTGGTCGAGGAAAGCTGGATATCTTTTGGGCCAGAGATCACCAGGAGGTTTTTCTCCCCGGAGCATAATGCTCTTCCGGGGGTATACCAGGAGAGGTGGTCACATAGGTGCGTTGGTCCCAGACCATTAAGGGTCTGCTCAAGTCAACGTGGAGTTCAAGTTAACTTGGTATTTATTTCTTTATATATTTATAAATTCAATTTATAGCCCACCCTCCCCGCGACGCGGGCTCAGGGTGGCTCACAGATTGGCGTAAGCCAACACATAAAAACAGGTTAAAACCATATAAAATCATTACTACAATGTTACAACCTATTAAGTAAGTAAGTATTAGAGCACCGAAAATCTATTTTTAAGAATTTTAATTAATTATAGTATGTTATTATTGTATTTATACTGTTTTTATTGTTGTAATCTGGCATTTATGCCTCTGTTAGCCGCCCTGAGCTTTCAGGGAGGGCGGGATAGAAATCCAAATCAATAAATAAAATAAGTGCTCTAGATGTTCCAGAATGATCTTCCCTAAAGAGGACGTCTCAAAGACGGTACACCCAATCAGTGCTGTCAGTCCCACTGTCGTTCTCTCTCCCCAGGGCCAGATGGGAATGGTGGTAAGATAGTGATGGTACGATAGTGGCGGCTCCTACTCGAAAGCCTGGCGGAAGAGCTCCGTCTTGCAGGCCTTAAAAGCTTGGTGTGGAGGAAAGGCCTTTAGAAAGCCACTTTTTTGACCTCTGGTTCATCGAGTCCTTTTTTTACACTTAAAAATGCCTGAGGTCAGCAGTGTTCCCTCTAAGCTGAGTGAGCGTGAGCTAGCTCACAGGTTTTTCGCCCCCAGCTCACACATTTTTGTCTTAGCTCAGGAAGGAGGGCTCCAGAGCCAAATGATTTATGCAGCAGCCAAATCGCTCGCTCACGACGTAAAGGCCAGTCGCTCGCAAAGTAGAGTTTTTGCTCACAAGGCTCCAGGGCTCAGAGGGAGCATGGCTGAGGTGGCTGCTGTGTCCATGCCAACGTCCAGTGAGTCTCCAGGGTCTCAGCCCAGGGTGGTCACCAGCTCTGTCCCCCGAGATCCACTGCTCTAGACTGGAGATGCTGGGGATTGAGTTGGAACCCTTGTCTGTGCTTCGGGTACAGGCTCTTCCCCCCCCGAGCTGTGGAAACTCTTATATTTGATATAAACCATTTTTTAAAAGGCAGGGCATGGGTAGGAGCTGCTGTATGAAGAATCAACTGAAATGTTACTTGTTTCCTTTATTTTTGCCCCAAGCACGGATCTGCCCTGCCGTCGACTAATTTGCAGAGCAGGTCCATGGTGAGGCCTCTGGAGCTCTCCGGTCCGAGTCATCCTCACGCCTCGGAGGCCGAAGCCCTGAAGCGCGAGCTGAGCCACCTGCGGAGCTGTTACGAGACCGCCAAAGGTGAGACGGGCAAGCTGCAGGTGGAGCTGTCCCACAAGAGCGCGGAGTGCCGGGCCCTGGCGTCCGAGTGCGAGAGGACCAAGCAGGAGTCCGACCGGCAGATCAAGCAGCTGGAAGACGCCCTGAAGGACGTCCAGAAGAGGATGTTTGACTCGGAAGGGAAGGTCAAGCAGATGCAGACGCATTTCCTGGCCCTGAAGGACCACCTGACGAGCGAGGCGGCGGCGGGCGGCAGCAAGGTGGCGGAGGAGCTGAGGGGGCAGCTGCAGGAGCTGAAGGCCAAGTACGAGGGGGCCTCGGCGGAAGTGGGGAAGCTGCGGAACCAGCTGAGGCAGAACGAGCTCCTGGTGGAGGAGTTCCGGCGGGACGAGGGGAGGCTGCTGGAGGAGAACAAGCGGCTGCAGAAGGAGTCCGGCATGTGGCGGGTGGAGCGCGAGAGGAAGGAGAGGAGGCTCTCGGAGGCCGAAGGCCAGCTGAAGGAGGCGGCGGCAAAGTTCGAGAAGATGAAGAGCTCGCTGTCCAGTGAAGTCGACGAGAGGGCCTGCAAGTTGGCGGAAGTGGAGGCGGAGTGCCAGAAGCTGCGTGAGGAGACGCAGCGGCTCCAGGCGGAGCTCGAGGGGCAGAAAGCGCAGCTGGCCCAGTCCGTGAGGCCGGAGGAGCACCGGCAGCTGAAGAGCCGGTACGAGCAGAGAGCCCAGGAGCTGGAGAGGACGCAGGCGGAGCTGGGGATGCAGAACCAGGCCCTGCGGAAGGAGGTGGAGCGAGCCCACGCCGAGAGCGGCCTGCTGAGAGGGCAGGTGGACACGCTGCGCGGCGAGATGAGGAGCCAGTACGTGCCTTTGAGAGCCACCGAAGAACTGAAGAGAGCAAACAGGAAGGCGCTGGAGGAGCTGAGCGGGAAGCTCGTGGAGGCCACTGAGAAGTGTCGCGGGCACAAGGCAGAGGTGGAGAAGTTGCTGGCGGAAAAGGCCTCCCTCGGGGAGAGCCTGGCACAGCTCCAGGCCACGTACGTCCCTCCGGAGAAGCACCAGCAGGAGACGGGAGCCTTGAACGCCACCATCGCCGGCCTGCAGGAGCAGCTGGCCACCCTGGGCCAGGCGTCCGAAGAGGAGGGAGCCAAGGCCCGCCAGCTGGGCGCTGAAAACGCGTCTCTTCGGAAGGCGATCGAGGAGCAGTACGTGCCCGTTTCAGCTCACGAGGAGGCCAAGCAGGCCCTGAACGGCATGCTGGAAAAAACAGGCCGGGAGCTGCTGGATCTGAAAGAGAGAATGGAAGGTGTGAAGCAGGAGTTTGTGAAAGGGAATGAGGAGAAGGCGGAGTTGAAGAAGAAGCTGGCCGCTCTGCAGGACCGGATCGAAGGGGAATATGTGAGCAAGAAGGATCACGACAGTCGCGTTTCCGCTCTGAGCAGGAGCGTTCAAGAGCTCCAGCAAAGCAACACCGAACTGCTGGGGAAGTACCAGGCCAAGGAGGAAGAGGTGTCGCAGCTGCACGCAGAGATTGAGGCCCAGAAAAAGGAGCTGGACACGATCCAGGAGTGCATCAAGTCCAAGTACGCCCCCCTGGCCGCTTTTGAAGACAAGGAGCGGGCCTTTGAGGCCACCGTCCGAGAGCTGCGGGGCCGGTTGCAGGAGCAGGAGAAGCGGCGCGGGGAGCAGGAGGAGGAGGCCGAGAGGTGCCGCCGGGAGAGCGAGAAGCTGCGGGCCGGGATCCAGTCAGTCCAGAGCGACCTGCAGCAGAACTACATCCTGGCCGAAAAGTCGCACGAGATGGAGAGGGCGTTTGCCGGCAAGATGGAGGACCTGAACAAGCAGCTGCAGGAGCTCCAGCAGAAGTTCGCGGAGATCAAGGGCGAAAAGGAGCGGCTCCAGGAGGAGAGCGCCCGGCAGCGTCTGGAGGCCGCCGAGGCCCAGAGCCGCCTCCAGGGCCAGTGCGTCCCCGTGGAGCAGGTGGAGGCCCTGAAGCGGGTCCTCGGCGACACCATCGAGGACCTCAAAGGAGAGCTGAGCGGCAAGGCGGCCGGTTGGCAGCAAGAGCTCCAGAAGGCCCAGGCCCTGCAGCAGGAGCTGGCTGGCCTGAGGGCCACGTCCGTGCCGTTGGCTGAGCACGCCCAAGTCAAGGAAGCGCTGGAGAGAGAGGCGGCGGCCGCCCGAGCCGCCCTGAGAGAGAAGGAAGAGGAGAGCCAGAGGCAGGGCGAGGAGGTCTCCCGGCTGCAGTCCGACATCCAGAGCACAAAGCAGGCCCTGAAGGAGCTGGAAGGCCGGGAGGCGGCGGAGCGCTCCGAGCACGAGGCGGCGAGGGCCCGCCTGGAAGCCCAGGTGCAGAGCCTGGCGGGGGAGGCGGCGGAGCTGAAGGAGAAGCTGGGGGCCATGCGGGAAGAGGCCACGCGGGCCGAGGCGGAGGACGAGAAGGAGGAGCTGCAGACCCGGAGCCTCAGCATCGAGCAGGAGATCCGGGACCAGAAGGAGAGGTGCGACAAGTCCCTGAGCACCATCACGGAGCTGCAGGAGAGGATCCAGGAGTCCGCCAAGCAGGTGGAGGCCAAGGACAACAAGGTGAGTGGGTGGGGCGGGACCCTCAGCCGGGGGGGGGCAGGTGGGAAGGGGGCTGTGTACTAATGATCGCGAATACAGCTTGTGTCAGGAATAGCCTTCAGTATAGGGGCCTCTGACTTATAGTGAAATCAAACATCCCCCCCCCCCAACGAGCAGAAGCCAGTGGCTATTGTTCGCGCGCACGGCAAAGCGAGCAAGTGGCAATCTTGGCAAAAAGCCATTGCGTTCCCAGCCGAGTAGATGCAGCTGGAGATTGCAAGGTCAAGCCTGAGATAGGGTAGAGCTGAGAACGAGGAGGAGAAATACCCCCCCACACACATTCCAGATCCATGACAGGGCTACCTGACATCTACATGGGAAGGGGCAAGGCTGAGGGGGGGGGCTGGTGTGGGAGGAGGGGGCTCCCTCCTTCCCCTGGAGCGATCCCTTGAAACCTAGGAGGGAGAGCTGGTAAGGAGTTTAGGCAGACACGTCCCTGCCAAGCGCAGAACCAGCGTGGCTCTCTTCCCTAAAGCAGGTGGGTGCTGCTTTTTCTCACCTGTAAAAACACCCGGAGGTCCGGCTTGCCTCATGAGCATCCGCTGTCGTTTCCAGCACAGGGCCAGCCCCTTCAAAACCTTCTTCTTGGCTACTGCTGAAGTTACTGTCCATCGGGGCGGAGGGGGGTTGGTTTTTTGGGGGGGCTGGGGGAGAATGCTTGGCTAAGGCCATGCAGGCAGCCACTCCCCGGCTCAGCTAGTAACATGCATTTGCCGAACGCCACCGGTGACGGTAAAAGGTGTGCTCCTGGTCTTTGCAGCATGCTCGTGTTTGGTGCTGTCGGTTCTGAGGCTGTCCAAACTTGGAAGGTGGACTGGAGCTTCGGGACCTTCTCGCATGGCTTCAGAGGAATCGGAAAGAGCTCTTTCGTGTGCGTTGCTAGGTCAAGTGCCAAGAGTTTTGGCCGAGTACTCAGTGCTGCAAGCCTGGCAGGGCGGAGACCAGGAAGCAAAGTTTTTACCTCTTTCCCCTGGGATGGCATGCGTCTTCTGGAAAAGCAGACTCAAGTGACAGTGCTTGCAGTGAAGCATCCTTAACACAAAAACTCAAAATCCTTCGGCTTTCTGGAAGACCGGAGCGGAGTCTGAGCAAGCCGGAGGGGCAAGGCTGAGCCGGGGAGTGGCTGGGGAGGGTCTTGTGTGTGAGCGGGGGGGGGCTTCCTTCTCCCCCTGGAACCCAGGAGGGAGAACTATTAATGAAGTCAGGCAGACACTTCCCTGCCAAGCACAGTTTGGAAGGGAAATATCAATTTTTTTGGGGGGGGGGAGAGACACAGGGGAAACCACATACTTTGAGCTCAGTAACCAACCCAGCGAGCTTCTAGCAAAGCTGTTTGGATAGCTGGGTAAACAACTAATTCATTTGGAAATGATATAATGAATGTCTTGCAAGAAAGTCTAAGGACCTAGTTAGAAACTTTATTGCTCAAGTCATTCTTCAGCACAGCTGCTTACGGGCTCTCTCTCTGTACTGGGTAGTGCAAAGTTCCGATACTTGGAACTCCAGCCTGAAGGGAGAGAATTCAAACCTCTCTGAGCAGTGAGACCCTTAGGCTCGGATGGCTTTCCTGCAGAGCATTACAGAAAGTTTCAACCCGCTGCAAGTGGTCCTGCCAACGATTGCCAAAATCGTATGAGTGCATGAAGCTGCCAGATTCCGAGTCAGACCCACCGTACGATTTTGGCAAGAAGACCCAGACCTGTCTCGAATCTGTAAGTGTTCTACACTGAGAGCTTGTTAACAGTGGCTTCCCATATACGTATTCAAGAGGACAGCTGTCAGTGTGGAATGGTTACGAATTTGGGATATGTCTGGATGTTTGGCTAATTTTAGGGTGTGTAAAGATGTCCACGCATTAGAGGATGCTGGCTGTCGGTATCAGTCATTAACTGCTAACCTCTACCATGTTCTTTGGACATGTCCCTTTTATCAGTAGTCTGGGAAACCAGATTCTGATGGCTCACGGAGCTCTGCTTAGGATCTCGAACGGCACTTCTGGGGCATTTAAGGAGCACTCTTGTAGATGGCAGTCTTCCACGGACTACGCTGAAGTTTATCTCTTTCCCACCGATGGGGGCGGGGGGCCTAACCCACGGCTTAATCCCAGCTTGTGGGGAAGAAACAAACTTGACTTTCGCTGAGCTGTGTCTGGACAGCATAACCAGCCTGGATGTCTTCTGTGTGGGAAGCTGCCGGGCGGGACTGTGAATGAGGGCTGTGGACCGTGTCTGAAGGTGGCCTCAGTTACCGAAACAGGCTGTCCTGGGCTAACCTGTGGGAAGGAGGGTTTTATTTATGCGGATGGCATCCTCCCTGTTCGTTTGTCAGAGTGTGACGAGAGAGACACCTTGTATAGCGGAAAGAAGCCGTTAGAACAGTCACATCCAAGACCCATCTTTTAGCTTGTTTTCTTTATTCTAATTGATCATTTTTGGGGTTTTTTTAAAATAACACGGAAGATTCAAACTGGGCTAACGTTTGAACTCTTGGAACGTTTTTCCCTTCTAGATCACGGAACTCCTCAACGACGTGGAGCGGCTGAAGCAGGCCCTCAATGGCCTCTCGCAGCTGACCTACAGCAGCGCCATTCCAGCCAAGAGGCAGGCCCAGCAGGCGGAAGGGCTCCAGAGCCAGGTGAAGACCCTGCAGCAGCAGCTGGCTGTAAGTACCCAAGTGGCCGGCGGTGGCTGAAGCCAGGCCAGGAGGGCCCCCGCACTTGGAAGCAGCGGGGAGAGAGCTTTGCCCACCCCCCAGGGGGAACGGGACATTTCCGCTTCAGTGCTGAGGCAGCGGGGAGTGCGGTAGCAGCACGGAGCATCCGTTTCCTAATCCTTACTGGGCTTTGTGCACGCGCGTGTGGGAGGCAAGGCCCGCTAAAACCTTCGGAGCCTGCAGGCCTTGTGAACAATGCTCCCTCTAAGTTGTGGGATTTCGCGAGCAAAAATTCTACTTTTGTGAGCTCCTAAACTCATGAGCGAGCGATTTGGCTCCTGCATAACTTAGTTTGCTCTGGAGCCCTCCTGCCTGAGCTGAGACAAAAATGGGTGAGCCGGAGGCTAAAAAACTGAGCTGACTTACACTCACTCAGCTTAGAGGGAACACTGCTTGTGGTGCTGGCTGTGGTGGGGTGGGGGTGAGGTGCCAGTGCCCTCCTTCCTGAAGCCAGGGAACTGTTAATCACTGGGCCATGGGGAATGATTGGCGTTCCTCTCTCTCTCGTAGGATGCTGAGAGGCAGCACCAGGAGGTCATCTCAATATACCGGACTCACCTTCTTAGTGCTGTTCAGGTAGGTGTTCTTGTTCTTCGCCATCCCTGGCATCACCACAGGGGACGCGGCAGCCGGATTGCTGAGGGTCGTCTTCCACCTCGGTCTCACTCTGATGGGGACTTCCTGAAGGGCTCCAAGGAAGCGCGTAG